AATTTAAAGAAAACATAACTTGAGTAAGGCCTATTACAGCAAAGAACATAAACAAAAGAAATAATTAAATAGTCTATGGGCCAGCCCATCCTCTCTACAGAACCATATCTATGATATTGTGGACCTGCCTAAAGGGAAGGAACCAGTGGGTTGTAAATGGGTTTTCACTATCAATTTTCATTCTGATGGCACTATTGAGAGGTTTAAGGCTCAATTGGTTGCTAAAGGCTACACTCAAATGTATGGTATTGATTACCTTGAAACTTTTGCTCCTGTGGCTAAAATGACTTCAGTTTGAGTTTTGTTGTCTCTAACTGCTACTTTTGATTGACCTCTTCACCAGTTTGATGTTAAAAATGCCTTCTTAAATGGAGATCTAAATGAGGAGGTCTATATGTCTTTACCTCCAAGGTGTATGGAAAGGAAATGCAAGGGAAGGTGTGTAAATTGAAGAAGTCCCTTTATGGTCACAAACAGTATCCTTGAGCTTGGTTTGAGAGATTTAGAGTTGCCCTTGTTTCTTTTGGTTACATACAGACTCAACCTAACCATACTTTTTTTGTGAAGAGAAGTAATTCTTTAGTGACTTTTCTGAATGTTTATGTTAATGACATTGTGGTTACAAGTAATGACACCCAGGAAGTGATTAAGCTCAAAAGATTTCTTAACACTGAATTTAAGATCAAAGATTTGGGGGATTTCAGATATTTCTTGGGAATTGAAGTTGCTAGATCTAAGAATGGCATCTTCATTTCTCAATGCAAGTATGTTCTTGATCTACTTGTAGAGACTGGTAAACTTGGTGCTAAACCGGCTTCCATTCCTATGGACAAAAACCATAATCTTTATGCTACTGATTGTGAACTGTTATCTGATAGGGGAGTGTCCTAGAGACTGCTCGGGAAGTTGTTATATCTTTGCATGACTCGGCCAAATATTTCCTATCCAGTGAGTGTTATTAGTTAGTTTATGCATTCCCCCAGAGATACACATTTAGCATCCACAGAAAGAGTTTTGTGCTACTTGAAAGGCACTCTAGGGAAAGGTATTCTATTTGCCAAGCATAGACATATCTAGTTGGAGGCATACACTGATGCTGACTAGGCTCGATGTATTGATGATAGGAGATCCACCTCAAGATATTGTGCTTTTGTGGTAGGGAACATTGTCTCATGGAGGAGTAAGAAATAGTCTGTAGTAGTTAGATCCTTAGGTGAAGTAGAGTACAATACAATGGCACATGGAGTGTCGGAGTTATTGTAGCTAAGATCACTTTTCGGAAAGTTGGGTATTGACTATGAAAAGCCAATGATGCTCTACTGTGACAACCAGGCAGCTATCAACATTGCACATAATCCTGTTCAGCATGCCAAAACTAAGCACATAGAAGTTGATAGATATTTTATATGGGAGAGAGTTGCTTCAGGGGAAGTTTGCTTGCCATTTATTGCGTCAGAAGAGCATTTGACTGATGTTTTGACTAAAGGTGTTCCCAAAGGAAAGCTAACACATTATATTAGCAAGTTGGGCATGATTGACATCTATGCTCAGCTTGAGGGGGAGTGTAGAGAAACTGGGCCAAATGGGCCTTAGTATTTATTTTTTATGTTTAAGCAATGTTTTTTTTTTTATGAATAATAGTAAGTTTATTGATTTAGAAGCAAATTAGAGTGAGTTCATACATCATCCCAGTGAGAGGCGCGAGCTGCAGCCCCTCCTTGAAACTTACAAGTAAACTAGGAAAGAAAAACAAGAATCACAACTGAGCCCAAAATAATTC